ATTTCGTTATATATTCGCTAAATATTATATTTATTATAATATTATTAAATCGATTGCAAATTAATTGCATTTCAAATAAATACTTATAAAACAATTATTAAACTAATAATTGCCATGGTAAGAATACAATAAAATTACTATAATTCTGTACAGCACCTAAAGAAATTATTAAATTTTGTAAATAATTTGTTATTTTATTAACTAAAGTTTAAAATTTATTGTAAATTAAAAAGTATGAACCAAGTAGAATTTTGAAGTATTACACTTATGATGGTGAATTTAATGGTGTCGTGATTTTTGTTGATTTTGCTATTTTGTATAATTGTTACAGTGTGCTTTAACACTGCTTTACATTTGGGTTTTTTAAATTATGATGGTTACTCTGATAACCATTCCCATAAGTTTAATATGGGCTTAAACATTATTCATATTTAAACAATAATCTATTTATATCGATAGTTTAATTAAAATAATGTACGGAAAACATATTTTAAATTAAAATCATATTAAATATTAATTTAAATAAAAATAAACCGTTTATAAAAATTTTTTCATAAATTGCACAACAATTGTAATAAATATTAAATGTCGTTCTGAATATAATGTTTAGGCAAATAATACACAAATCATATGTTTGGCTGAGTTTTTCAATTATATTTACCGACAAAAATATATATTAAATTCAATATATGTTTTTCATTCAATACACAAATTGAATGCAATTTTTAAATGTTTGCTGGAATTTGAAAAATATGATTGAAATATTATTTATACGTATAATATATACCCATATATTTAATATATTAGTATAATGTATGTATTTATAGTAATAACTACAAGATATATAGGTATATGACTTGCCTTTACCATTATTTGTAATACCGGTGCGTTTGGCATCATATCGTCGATTATTGGACCGGATTTTGATGACAACCACAACAATAATGACAATCAGTACGAGTGATGCGACCGATGCTATCAATAGACCCAATACTGGATTCACCACAATCTGATCAAAACTCCCTATCATATCATGAATGGCAAAATATTAATAGAAATTTTATTATAGATTTTAATATTACATTTATAATCATGGTATTTACAAGAAATATAAATAGCAATCGGAGATCAGTTTTATCATAGATCAAAGTTTTTGTAAAATATAATCTCTTATTATAATGTTTAAATTTAAAATTATTGACTAAATCATAGATTATTTCTTAATGTATGAATGTTTGAAAACTAATTATAATGATGTAAATACTGTAGTAATTGCTAACTAAATTAAACTGATTAAATTGATATAGATTTTACGCTCAACTACATTGATAATACATAAACAAAGAAACTGTAACTTTTAAATTGACATCTTAAATCTATGTTTAAAATCATTTCAAACTGAGTTATAGTTGGTGAACGACAAAAGGAATCAAATTTTAACTTGATAAATTTAATGTGATGTCTATCCAAACTTTTTAATAAAATGACATTTACTATTAATTATTCGATATTTATACACAAAAAAAGCTATATAAATAATTAAATATATATTTTAAATAATAATTAATAACAAATACAAGACAATCACAAAATTTAAAAAAAATATTTCCAAAACAATACAAACCATTAGAAATGTGTTTCTCGGGCGGCGATAGCGTGGCGGCGGTTAACGACACGGTATGGCTGCGCCCCTTGGCGTTGGCCGCGTACAGCACTAGCGTATACTGAGTGCCCGGTTGTAGACTCGTTACGGTGAAGGCCGGGTGTGCGCTAGAGCTCAGGTTTGTGTGCAGATTTTGAATGGCTGTGGCGTACACTTCTAGGTAAAAGTGTTGGTGCAGACCACCATCATCGCCAGGTGTGCAGTCGATTAATAACGTGGTCATTGAGTGATTGGTCACCGCACAGTTCCGTACCGGTTCCGGTTGACCTGAGGTAAAAGGGTATATGATTATTATCGTGGTCATTTTTAATGATGTGTTTGTGATTTATTTATTGTTTTGGTCTCTCTCTCTCTCTCTCTCTCTCTCTCTCTCTAGAAAAAAATAAAACTCAAGTAAACATCAAATGGAAATCAATATTTGATCTCAAATTTAAAGCTCAATGAATGAAAAACCTCTGCATTTTTCGCTCACAAATGTTCACAAAATACAAAAAAAAAAGTGCGAATTGACTGCAAAGTAACCCAAAAAATGTATCCAAGTTTTTGTATATTCTCATCCATTGACTTAACATTACGTTTTTGTTATTTTTTGGACACAAAAACAATAAACGAGATAAAAATAATACAGTCAAACAATATACACGACACACAAAATCCCATAAAACGTGTGTATAAAACAAAAATAAATACAAAACACTAAAAACAAGTAAAAACTTTTGTTGCCTCAGATTTTTAACTACACTTTTATTGCCATTTTCTTAACATTACAAACATAACAAAAATCTAATGGATTTTAACACCGAAAATACAAAATATTATATCATATGTTATGAAATAATATTTATCATGTGTTTTGGTTTTTCATTCGCTTGACATTTATGTGCAAAAAAAACTAATTTATTTGTTAAACAAACGGTTAATTAAACGTCAAAATCTGATACTAGGTTTTAAACACGGATTTTTTTGTTACAACATATCTAGTAATCATTTTTAGACATCAGAGAGAGAGAGAGAGAGAGAGAGAGAGAGAGAATGCATTCGCCCCCTCATCAATTTCCAAAAACATCTTAAAATGTCCATGCTTGTTTATCATGTTATATTATTAACATTTATGCAATTCAATTATATAGATAATACCTATTCATAGACTTAATAAAATATTTTGTTTATTTATTCTAACAATTTTTAAAACAGAATCAGTCGATAATATTTGTATAAAATTGTGATATTCGTGTGTTTTTAAAGTCTTGACAATGCATTAAACAATTAATTTGTCTCATATTTATTATAATGTCATATAAATTCAATAATACGTTTAATCACTAAATAAAATAGAAGATTGTTTTTAATATTTAAATATTTAAGTGATATATAATTAATGAACTTATAGTATAATCTGCATATTTTTATGTATTTGCCTGTTATTAATTATATAATTAAAACTGTAACTATAAATGCAATCACTTTTATATAGGTGTAAATAATCTGTTAAATGTTAGTATTATGGGTTAACGGCAGTGAGGGCATAAAAAACATTTTGCAGCTATCATTTTGCTCATTATAACAAATATATATTGTAAATTTATAAATCGCTTTTCATATCATTTTTATTCAATTGATATGATTTCTGACGCAAACAATTCAGTGATTGAATGAGATTTGCATAGAAATACTCGAATGCATATTGAATTCATATTAGCATACATTTCAATAACACATTTTAAGGACTGGTAGTCGTGAGGCAGTCGTCAGTTTACATAGTTTTGAAAGTTGTTGTTATATTTTCTTCAAAACCAAACAAATATTTCGTTTGAGTTTTGGAGAGAGAGAGAGAGAGAGATTACGAGCAAAAAATCTAAGAATATTCATACAAAAAGAGATAAACAACGAAACAAAATGCAAGAATATTCTTGTTGTAAAGAGTGAAATATGTATAAACTTATGAAACAATTTATTGGTTACAAAACGGAGTGAAAAAATTAAATCCGACAAAAAACAAAGCAAAAAAATACACATTGAAAATAATATCAAAAAACAAACACAAATATATGGGAGAGAAAAGTGAGTGAAAAAAATATATAAATATTTTTTTCATGCAATAAAACCTAACAAAACAAACAGAGAAAAAGTTTTTGCAAAGAAATAAATATCAAATAAAAATTTAAAAGTCAGCTCTGATTTTGAGTTATAATACTTGAAAATAGTGTTAAAAATAAAAATAAATTTCAATTCACAGATAAAAACAAACGGCAAAAGTGTCGGAGAAATAGATATAAAATAAATATCAAAATAACAACAAAAAATAGGCCTTAAATTTATGAATTGTCGTGAATCCACAGCAAAAACAAAAACAATAAATAAAATTAAATAACAAATACTGTTAGAGGAATGGATTTAATCAAATAATATCCACAAATAAAAGCAAAAGTGAATAACAAAATAACGAAATAAGTTTGCATTGTATGTAAAATGTAGCGCAAAATTGGTTTCAGATTGAAATTAAATCAGTCAAATAATTTAATTATTCAAATCAATAGAAATTATACCATACAATCAATCAGTATTACAAATATTGCTAATACTTATTAGCATTATACTAATTGACATTTTTAATTTATAAACAAAGTTGGTAAATTTGCTGTTAATAACTAGCAAATATTGATATTTTTGTTGCAAAGTTAGCGGTTTAAAAAGTAAATTGACTAAATAAATAAAAACTGTAAATCTTATATTCATCTATTATTTATTATAAATTAATTTAAAAAGTATGAATTAGTGGTCACTACGACATTAACGGATATAATCTTTTATAAATATAACATGGTGAATTAATTTTATGCCAATATTTAATTTTAAATGTTATATTCAAATATTTGCATATTAATTTACAATTTATTTTATTTATTACATAAAAATCATAATAACATTAAATTGGATTCAAAACATAAAATATACTACAATTAAGTTAAATATGTTTAATAATAAATAAATCAATGCGAAAATAATAATCAAGATATAAGTAATCGATGAATGAGTGCCTCAACACAAACAAAAACAAAACTACAGACAAACCAGCGTTTTGTTTGTATCCAAAAAAGCATACGATTTATAGCAAAACATTAAAAAAATAGTTTATATAATATATACGATAATATTGTGTACAATATTATCCCTAAGTATACGGTGTTTATTGCTAAACGCATATCAAACATAAGGTGTCTATTATTTATCAATGATATGACACACAGAATATATACACAGAATATTCTGTATATATTCTCTACGAGTAAATATCGACAGAAAGTAATCATAAAACACATGAAATATATGGCGCAAAACAATAAGCCTAAACAAAATATACACCATTTCTCTCGCAAACAATGGCTTTCAATCGTATAGAATATCAATACAAACGGTTATATTCCGGTCATTATGTTTAACGCCTTATTATATAATAACTTATATATAGATTGAATGGCTCTCCTCTACAGTCAAAGCCCTGTTAAATATGTGTTGTGTGCAAAGAAATATGCCGTATGTTAATAATATACTGCCTGTGCGTTAAGCAAACAAATAAAACCAATCCAAACTTAAATTGTTTATTCACAATAAATGGTTATATTATTTGTCGTACACTATATATGAGCAATAAATTTAGATTATAGTGTACTAATAGATTACCTCAACGCTAATATTTCATCTGATTTGTCAATTGACAAAAAAAACGATACAACAAATTATAGCAATTTG